TTACCCAGGTAGAGACACAAATATCTCAGCCCGCAGTAGGGGGGTGATGCCTTCTGGCTTTTGCTGCCTGGACTCCAAATCATGCTCAGACAGCTTCACTGGCCTTTTGCATTGACTCAGAGAAATGGTGACCCTCCTCTTCCTTTTCACTCCCAGCAGATTCCCACGGGATCTCAGATGAGGAGGGCTCGTCGGAGGTGTTCCTGGCTACAGACAGTGACTATGATTCCAGCAGGGCCCAAAGCCCCAAGGAGCTGGACCTGGTTTACTCCTTGGGGCCTGAGTGCTGTGGCAGAAAAATTGCCCGAACCCTGAGGGACAGTGCCCCTGATGTCCTGCAGAGCCATGAACTCAAAGCCCCACCGCTGCTCCCAGAGGAACCCCAGCCACCCCCAGAGCTGTATGACAGCGACTTTGTCCTCCCTAGCCGGCAGATTGAGCTCCTCCGCATCACAGAGAAGCGTCAGGCCTACTGCGTCCGCACTAGCAGCTTGGATTTCCCCAAGCCCCTCTTCCAGGTGGCCAGGAAGTCCTGTCCTGGCTCCGTCGATAGCTCCCCGACAGAAACCAGGACGACGGGCCAGTGCAGCTTGCTCAGGCTGGACACTGGCTCAGCTTTCAGCCCCGAGCACAGCCAGGCTGTTGAAAGCTCTGAGCCTGTCTTCCGGACACGCTCAGTGGAGTGGACTCGCACCTTCCAGGAGCCACCAGAGCTGGGATACATAGCGAACCGAGGGAAGAAGCCAGGCTCAGCCACCTTACGGGTCTGTGCTCAGTATGAAACCGGACTGTCCAACGAGACCAGCGTTAAGGTATCACCGTGCCCCCAGGGCAGCTGGAAAATCTGCTCCAAACAGCAACAATAAAGCCCAGCTTTGACGATGTAAATAGGGCTTGGGGGAACACTCGATGAGGGGGCTCTTTGCCCCTAGGCCTGAGAATATTGCCTCTGTCCAACCTTCCCACTGAAGCTTTTCTCCTTAATATTTTCTGCTATTGCCGCTGCCATCAGCGCTGCTCCACAGTGCAGCATGGCCACTGACGTCCCAGCAGGCCAAGATGACAGGAGCTGGCACCCACTGTGTCGGCAGCAGTACCCCACCTTCACTGCGCCAGTGCGGCTGATTTGGTGCTAGAGATGGCAGGAGAGTTAAGGAGCAAAGGCCAGGTAGACAGGCCTGTGCCATTCCCAATGTGTGTGGCCTTGCCAGAAGCTGGGGTTGATGGAGATGCTGGCCGGTGCAGAAACCCTGTGTCCAGGGAGCTCATTTTGATAGGGGCATGCGTCTTCCCTCCCTCCCTCCCCTCCTCTAATGTTTCAGCACTCCATAGTCCACACCCTCCTTTCTGGGCCACTAGAGAGTTGTTTCATTCGACAGTTAGATGCAATGCAATATGTTCTCTTGGGTCACCATTCCCACAGTGTATCCTGGGTCAACATCCCTTGCAGTGATCCCATGGCTTATCCTGGGTCACCGTCTCCTTCCCCAGCATTCCCGCTCTTTATCCTGGGTCACCGTCCCCTCACCCAGCCTTCCTGCTCTTTATCCTGGGTCACCTCCCCTCACCCAGTTGATCCTGTGTAGCTAGCCCCTCCCTTCCCTCAGCCTCCAGGGCCGAGTAGCTGTGCTATCAGCAGGGGGCCCCTGTGTGGGGAGAAGGAAGAAGGGTCTTCTCCTCTCTTGCTTTGAAGAAGTTGGCAACTAGTCTGCTCTTGCTTACGGAAGTGGGACCACCCTCCCTTCACTGTAAGGACAGTTTCCTCCCCATCTTTGAATCCCGCTCCAAATGACCCTTTCTGGCTTTCTCCATCAACTGACTTCAGCCTGCCGTATCCCTCTGCCCTCCCATGCACAGGCTTACTCCACTCCTCCAGCCTCAGTCTCTCCCAAGTCTGAGCAGGGAAGGGCTGTGTTCTGTCCCTCGCTCTGGCCCTTCTCTGGCACGGGCTTCCTTCCTCCCTTCAAGACATGGAGCCTCTTTCCCTGTGAAAGTGTCTCTTTCACGCTTCTGGGAAAGCGATGGGTCTGACAGAGCAGCCTTTGCCGCTCCTGCCCTTGTAACTGCAGAGAAGGACAGCACTGATGTCTGCAGGTTTTTCTGGCCCTCGAGCGAGGGCAGATAACGAGTGCTCTCTATTTATCTAGCAGGGACTTTACAAGCAGAGGATAATGTGACTCTTCAAGTTTATTTTTCATTTTAAAAATTACCATCACTTTCTGTGCAAACTGAGCCTGCCCCTGGGGGTCTGCCCAGTTGCCTGGTATGGCTTTTGGTGGTGCAAACGCAGGACGTGCCTGCTTTAAAGCATTTTCTGCTGTCCCCAAGGAAGCCAGGCTAAAAACACAGGGCTGGGTGCTCAGCTGCACAAGGTAGCTTAGCCCCACTGGCTGGCTGAGGAGCTGCACCGCACCACACTGCGGGGTGTTGCGCATAGCTCTCATGAGTGTGCCAAAGGAAACGGGAGCTTGGCCCCCCGTGGTGATGGGAATAGCTGCCTGCTTCAAACCTTCAGGACCGGCCCGTGCCTCTGACAGGGTAGGTCTGCACTTGGAGCTAGAGAGGTCATGTCCAGCACAAGGTGACGTACTCATGCTATCTCTGATCCAGCTGGTGCACTAACACTACAGGGTCACCCCCAAAGTGGCTGCCCCATGTCCATCACCATCCAAGACAGTAAGCACGTACTGGAGGTGGCTAGCCCCTCGCACTGCTCTCGCCACCATGGCTACCCTCAGTGCTTAGCGCACTAGCTAGATCAGAGCTAGCATGGGCATGTATCCTCGAGCTGGCCATGACACCGCCAACTCGCAATGTAGACATACCCACAGTAGTTGACAGCCCCAAGCTGAGAGGAGGTTAGCTGCTTGTCAGTGATTTAAAATTCAGAGGGCAGTCCCCATCAGACTGTCATAAGGACAAGGAAGGACAGAATTAGCCCCCAGCTAGGGCCCTGATCCTGCACATGCTTCACATTGTGTCCAAGCGTTTGCAGGATTGGGGCTAGGTCCCTAAGTCCTTTCATTTGCAAGGGATCTGCCCAAGATGCACTGGTTCATGCCTGCGGGCTTGTGACACCTCCCAGTTCTCTTATTCCCCGCTGACCATCTCTCTCTGCCCCCTCTTTCCACAGCTGCACGTCACCACCAAGATGTCAGCAGAAGAGGTGGTGAAGCTGGTGGTGCTGGAGATGAATGAGGTCTCCCGGAATGTGCTGGGCAACGTGGATGCCTTCTGCTACAGCGAGGATCAGCTGGATCACTTTGGACTAGTGTTCGTGTCAGACGACACCGAGCAGTGGCTGCCTGACGACTTCTTACCCCTCTCTCTCCACAACGCCTGGCCTGAGGGGCGGTTCTATGTCCGAATCAAAGAGACATCCCCTCTTTTGTTCCAGTATGGGCCAGCAACCACAGTATGAAAGGAGGGGAATGGACAGGGTAAACTAGAGGAACTCAACTTCCACTGAGCAAACAGCTCGTCTCCAATGCTTCCTTCCTACTCAGACACCCTCTCATCAGACATCCCCAGGGTGGAATAGGATCACACTAGGCTGTGTATTACTTGTTTGTGTTTTTTTTTTTTTTTTAACCAAAGACACATCAAGACTTGGTTTTTATGACTGCAAGAGATGAGGGTGGAGCACAGGAGACCTCACAGCCTTGGGGGGAGCAGTAGCTGGAATAGGATTTTTGAAAGTCAATATTTTGTGGGGAGGGAGGAAGAGTGAGTAGAAAAAAATCACAATGAAGCAGCAGCAACAATACATTATTTTCCCTCTCCCTCGTACAATCTAAATTTGGGATTTACTGAAGGATAAGCCAGAGATTTCCAGGCGGCGTGGGGAGTGTGGATGGGGGAAGGAGGCAACTTGCAAAGATGTTGCAGAGAAGATTGTTTTGTTAACTGTCCTTGTTTCTATACCTGGAGAAACACTTTATTGCACACAGTTCTTGGAACAAAATGATTTTTTCCCCTTTAAAAAAAAAGTGCAAGAAACACTGGAGCTGTGTGAAAGCCGGACATCCTTTTTACTTCTTTTAAAGGCAAAAGGAAACCGCACATATGCGTGCACACATACATATTGACACTCACTGATGTTGCCAATATAGGTTTGCTACAGAGCATTTCCCACAATGCATTTAGCACTGCTGTTAGGTTTTGTTTTTTTTGGTTACCGTTTTATTCTGGTGATTGTGATTGGCCTCTCTTGTATGTCCAATAGCATGATGTTTTGTTAGCGACTAGGTCTCTTGTTAACTAAGGTTGTTTTTTGAACTCCTGTGGTCCGTAGTAAAGATGGCTGTGTTGCTGAGAATGTATCACATTTTTCCTTCTTGTGGCCTGATGCATAGTGCACATTTTCATAGCCTATGTTACTGGGATGAGGTTCTGAATTTAAACTCTGGACTTTCCACAGCCTGCAGACTGTTTAAAGGGACACTGTCAACTTAGGTGAGGCCTACATTATGTGTGTGTGTGTCTGTAGGAACAAAATATGAATAGAAATGTTTGGGTTTTTGTTGTTCTGTAATTCAATGGAAGGAGGTTTGGCATGGGAATTAAACCATTGTCTGAACCATTGGAAACCCACAAACAAGAGCATTGTGGTAGGGCTGGAGGATCAGAGAAGGAAAACAACTGTAAACTTACAGTGAAACTGATTCATCTAGTTTCAAGGCCCAAGCTGAGTGACAGCAACAGGAAAACAGAACTTAAAGGGTGAAGAGTAAGTTAGATGTTAAAACTATTTGTTTGCAGTAATCAAAGGTGTAATTAGTAACAGGATAAGATTAATATTATTTCTATGTTGACAGTGCCCGTCTCTTCCCCTCTCTATTTTCCCGTAGTTTAGGCCCAGATTCTGTAATGCTCCATTGGATTCCATGCAGACACAGGCATCACCCCACATTTCAGGATTGGTGCCTTAATGGTTATACATGCTGCCGTTCTGAGGGCTAGCTGCTGCCATCTCTGTTTAAATGTTCTTTCGAATAGCTTTTTTGGGTAAAGCCAACAGTACTTCATACAGGAAGATGAGAAGTACATTGCAATGCAAGCCCTTCACCACCAAACATCACAGTCATGTTCCAAGGTGAAGGGTTGGCTCAGATCCTCAGCTGCTGTAAATAGATGGAGCTCCACTGTAGTCAGCAAAGAAGCCATCCCAAAGACATTGATGGTATTTTAAAGACAATCTACAAATGAAAATAAAAAAAGGCATATGCCCGTTTTCTTTTTCCTTTGCAGACAACTTTCAGCAGGTTAAAACTGGTCCCAGTTTTCCAGCCCGAAGAAGAAGTAGGATTATTAATCTCAGAGTTTTTCTTTGAGTAGAGTCCCTTATGGGTGCTCCACTTCAGGTGTGTATGTGCCCCATGCTCCTTTGATCACAGATTTTTGGTAGCAGTGCCCATTGGATCCATGCATGCACCTGCACCTCTTCATGTCCCATACTGAGGATATATAGGGCTGCGCAGGCAAATCACCTTCGGTTTCTTCTCACATGTGAAGTCCTGCAGAGAGAACTCCAAACCAAAGGAGTAGCTCATGGAGAATCCACAGGGACAAATGTCTCGAAGAATTCTAGTTACTGCTGAAGGTGTTTTTCCATACCTAACAGTTTGTCCATACCTAAGTATCTACTGAAAATGTCCTCTGAATTTTACATCAGCCAAGTCCTCCATCTTCCATTGTTTTTCCTGAAACCCCATCAAACAGAACCAAGTCTTTTAAAAAGTCTCCCAGGCTGTTCATCTCAATTGCTGACAGGTCCAAAATCTTCACCCAGAGACTCTCTAGGGGGATTTCTGGACGTGTTATTTCTTGTTATGAATCTGCCAATACACAACCTTGTCCTAAAGTGCCAGTCCATTGCACAAACTTGCTATCTATCTCTATGGCATTACTTGAATGTGCCCCATGCTGAGATCTGCACTGTCAATATGTACCTCTTCCAAACCCTGTGTGGTAGTTCATTCTTCTAGATCAAATGCTGCCCTTGGGAATGGAGTCGTGTCCAGTACTGGACTCCGCTCCAGTTCTCCCTCCTCCTGATGAGGATACTGCTGGGAAGTCACCTGCAGCGGAGCTCCCATAGGGACGCTACTCAAAGAAGGAGGAGGGGTTACTCACGCTATGCAGTAACTGGAGTTCTTTGAGATGTGGGAGCTCCACTACCCATCGTCTGCTTCAGAGTTTGCTCTGCGGGACTTGGCAGATGAGAAGGAATTGAGGGTGGTTCTTCCGTGCAGCCCTATATACCCTCGTGCAGCCCTATATACCCTTGCTGCTGGGCATGAGGATGTGTAGGGCACAGGGTGAACAGGCACTGCTACCAAAACTCTGATCAAAGCCACATGGGGCGCACCTGGAGTGAAGCCCCCGAGGGGACATCCATCTCAAAGAGCTCCAGGTACTGCACAAGCAGAGTGACCTCTCCATGTCACGTTACTAGCAGATAATCCTGGTCAAATAAACACACTGAAGCTCCATTTCAGAAAGCAGTGGCCACTTTGCAGAGTAGCACTTGAAACACAGGTAGTGCTTTCCCTATCCAAAGTCCATCACGTCCACTATCCAGTGATCCTCAGAGCCCTGAGAGGCAGGCGAAGAAGTGAGGAACAGAGCTGTTAAGTGTCGTTCCCACAGTCACAGAGGAAGTGAGTGTCAAAGCAGGGATTATAACTTGGGGCATTCATGAATCCCAGATCTGTGCTCTGACCATTTGTCCCTGCTACCTTCTTATTTTACATTAGAAAAAACCCTCTCTCTGATTGTGTAGTTGTGCAGAAAAACATTCTGCTGGGAAAGTCTAACCAAGTCTAGGCAATACCTGCCTTCCAGGGGCTGCTGGGAGCATTAACTTGTGGACATTTGCAGAGTGCTGCGGATTCTGCAATTGGGAGAAGGAGGAGGATGGTTCTCATCAATGCTTTAAACTGGTTATCTCTGCCGGTGACTCTTTTATGTTCATTTTCATCCTTGCCGCCATGCCCAGAAGCCATGGAACTGGGCTCTGCACAGACATATGTAAATATATAAATACATCGATGGATCCCTTCAAAGCCATCCAAGTGCTTCAGTTCAGGAGGCGCCTGCCTAAGAGCAAGGAGCGAGGCTCGTATCAGCCCCCAGTTCTCCCATGAACTCAGAGCTTGACCGGTGATGTCATTAAAGCAGGCCCCATGTGATGTGTTGATCTTGGGCAGAAGAAGGGGGCGGGTGCTGTCATTGGAGGAGAATTAACAGCACCCGCCCCAATAGGTTTTCTTATGCTCAGTGCTAATGACGCTGGTGACACCACTTTGGCAAAGGAGCCATCTCAATGGGCACCAGCCTGGCACTTGCTGTCTGACTGTGCCAACTAGAGCTCATTCACCAAGGTGCATGAGACACTGGCAGGTGTAGAAACGTTCCGCTGTGACACACACACACACACACATGCACACACACACCGGAGCCTAGTGCAGGGAGAGGGGGTTGCTATTTGGCTTTTATAGCATTTTTTCCCCTTGGATGTTTATTAAGTCAAAAGCAAGAGCCCAGAAGGGTTTTCTGGTGCCATTATCTGCACATGTGCACACACTTCTCTCTCGGTCTCTCCCCCCACACCTCTCACCCCTCCCACACAGCCAGAACCCCTTCTCTCCCATGTCCACCCTCTCTAGCAGTCTTAGTCAGGGCTGGGTTAGCAGAGGGCCATTCTGTAACAAGATCAAATAACAGGTGAGAGAAAACTGGTGACGAATGCACAAACAGCCTTCCCCTCCCAGCTGGAGCAGTCTATATGCAGGAAGGCCTAAATCTTTGCAGTTGTGCCCAGGATTCAGACATCAGCCCCGCTTTGAGCTGGCAGAGCATTCTGGGTATCGACAGAGCCAGCATCCCCCTCTGCACCTTATTCTTCATACCCAGCTAGAAACAAGGGCCTACGGTTAGGGCACATCTGCAAGCTTCAAGCTGTGTGCACCCCTGGAATAGGCAGTGCCACCTGTTAGCTGTGAAAGCCTGGAAGCAAAGAGGGAGGGGCACCCATGTTACATGACATGTGCCTAATTAAAATCTCCACCATGTGGAAGATGTAACAGCTCTTAGCAGTGTGTCTCGGCGGGGAACCAAAGTGCTAGGAGAACTTGATACAAGACACTGAAATCCATGGGAAAACTTACTATGCAACCACCATCATTCTCCTGCTGATTGTAACCCAGTGACACAGCCGAATGGGAACTGTTTCTATCATCTCCGGGATCCCGAAATGAGGCCAGCTTTCAGCTGGGGGAGGGGCCTGGGTGCCACCAACTAGTGCAGCATTGCCAGCTGTGATTCATTACAAATCCATTTTGCCCCGTGGGTGGAGGCTCCTGGGGTGCCTTACAAGGGCTATGGATGCCTGTTTCCTAGGTGCAGAGGAACACGGAGACTGCACCCCAGAACTAGCTGCACTTAGGGACGCACTGGTTTGTTGTCAATGTCACTTCAGTCAGCAGCAAGCTTTAGAAGCCACTCAGTGCATTGACTTGTCATACTGTGAGGTCCAGAATGTGAGCCTCAACTATACCAGTATTTGCAGCAGGCCCTCAATAACCAGAATTTCCTCCTTCATCTTTCCACCCACATGTGGACCTTGATGGCCCGGGGCATGGCTGGTGTAAATTGGTGTAACTCCATTGAAGAGAATGGTGCTCTGTTGCTTTACACCAGCTGAAGATATGGCCCTGTGAGTTTTTTGCTCAGACTGTAGATTCTGTGTTCACCCTTTTAGGGAATAAATGACCTACAGTGGAGCCTGAGCTGTTGAGGTCAGAACAAAACTTTTCCCACATTCCCCCTCCCATCTGAGGTCCTGGCTTGTTCCATTGAAGAGAGAGGGATTTTGTTGATCTCAGATTTGGAACTCCCCAAAGTCTGACAGTGTTTAGATCTGAGGTTCAGGTTTGGTCCCTGCATTGTGGCATTTCTCTCTCTTGGGTACCTCTGGTTTGCGATCTCCGTCCCGAAGCTCTGGTGAGTTGGGAAAGAACCAGATTTGCCCTCCTATAAAAAAACCTTGGGGAACTGCCATGAGTTTAACTCTGGGAAGATGCTATGGGCCTGATCCAATGCCAGTTGAAGTCAATGGAAGTCTTCCTTCAAAAGGCTTTATGTGGCAGAGGGAGGGATATATCAGCCATTAATGTACAGTGGAAGTTCCAGGACTGCTATTACATGGACAATTATGATGTTAATTATGGAACTAGCCCCTGTAGGAACTCTATGCAATTACATGGTATTGTTTACCCAGTAACTTATAAATAGCAGTGCA